TTGGTAGTGATCACGATAAGGAAAAAATTTTCGTATTTTTTTGACTTTAAATTTGCTTAAATTTTTGTAAAAATCGTCCAATGTTTGGTATGCGAGACGTAAGGCTTCAAAGAGTGTAGCGAGTTGTTTCACTCTTATACCATCATCTTCAGGCCGGTTCATCATAAGAATAAAGTCAGTTAACAGCTCGATCACAGGTTTTTCAAGATATATTGCTCTGAGAACACAAATCCAAGGTCCTGCGATGGCCAGAACAATTGATGGACAACAAGAATACTTGCGGTGCTTGACAATCTGTACACAAAAAATTAGATGAATAAGTATATGACTTCTTTCTTTTACCAATTTATTTATATTAAAAAAACCCCACATCTGTTTGAGCCCAATATTTTGCATATTCACAACCGCCTTGAATTGTTGGATCTTTTCCACCTGTCCCAATTTCGTTTTTGTATTCCCATATAACAGGAGCAGCTTTCTCTCCAAAATCTGTATTATCAGTAAGCAATACATCATCAACAATAGCACTGTTATCAGTCACAATAGATACTGGTCGAATTCCATTAAATAAAAAAGCAAAAAAAGGACGAAGTGCCTTTTGACGTTTAGTTTCATTTTGATATATTTGTCCAACGATTTTTTCTAGTTTTGAGATTTGTTTATATCTTCTTTTTGGTATAGGTAGTTCATCATTACGATAGTCTGCAAGAAACTTGCCAAAAACAGATACTGGTAGACCACAACATTCTGGCGGTCTTAAGTTAAAAATCTTAATGGGATCTTCATTACATTCCTTCCATGCTTTAGGATTTGAGGCAGCCGAAGGACAAGGCATGTTATATATTTCCTCAATATTCCTGTCTTGTTCTGTGATGTACAAAATTGTAAAATATATAATAATAAAGCAACAACTAGATTTTTTATTTAAAAAAAAACAAGTATTTTATCTAACTAACCACGAAGTATCCTTTTATGTTCAGAAGCAACGTCAACTGGCAGGACAAAGTTTTCTTCTATTTATCTTTTCCACCTGTCCCAATTTCGTTTTTGTATTCCCATATAACAGGAGCAGCTTTCTCTCCAAAATCTGTATTATCAGTAAGCAATACATCATCAACAATAGCACTGTTATCAGTCACAATAGATACTGGTCGAATTCCATTAAATAAAAAAGCAAAAAAAGGACGAAGTGCCTTTTGACATTTAGTTTCATTTTGATATATTTGTCCAACGATTTTTTCTAGTTTTGAGATTTGTTTATATCTTCTTTTTGGTATAGGTAGTTCATCATTACGATAGTCTGCAAGAAACTTGCCAAAAACAGATACTGGTAGACCACAACATTCTGGCGGTCTTAAGTTAAAAATCTTAATGGGATCTTCATTACATTCCTTTCTTTTCCACCTGTCCCAATTTCGTTTTTGTATTCCCATATAACAGGAGCAGCTTTCTCTCCAAAATCTGTATTATCAGTAAGCAATACATCATCAACAATAGCACTGTTATCAGTCACAATAGATACTGGTCGAATTCCATTAAATAAAAAAGCAAAAAAAGGACGAAGTGCCTTTTGACATTTAGTTTCATTTTGATATATTTGTCCAACGATTTTTTCTAGTTTTGAGATTTGTTTATATCTTCTTTTTGGTATAGGTAGTTCATCATTACGATAGTCTGCAAGAAACTTGCCAAAAACAGATACTGGTAGACCACAACATTCTGGCGGTCTTAAGTTAAAAATCTTAATGGGATCTTCATTACATTCCTTCCATGCTTTAGGATTTGAGGCAGCCAAAGGACAAGGCATGTTATATATTTCCTCAATATTCCTGTCTTGTTCTGTGATGTACAAAATTGTAAAATATATAATAATAAAGCAACAACTAGATTTTTTATTTAAAAAAAAACAAGTATTTTATCTAACTAACCACGAAGTATCCTTTTATGTTCAGAAGCAACGTCAACTGGCAGGACAAAGTTTTCTTCTATTTAAATTTTTATAATTAAGTCAAGTCGTATTTATTATGATATTAATTTTATTAGCTCTTACTTGTTCCAGCAGGTATCGTATCAACAGCCTTTCGTTTTTTAGATGTGGGTTTGCTGTTATGCACATAAAAAAAAAAGAAAATTAGGGATTCAACCAAAATGCTTGAATGATGAGTGTTAAGTATCAACTACTAACATCATTCTTTTTATTAATAACTAGAGTAACGACGACAGGTGGCGGGCGATAGCCACCGCCATCCTTAAAAACACTTACCCGCCAAGTGCCTCCCCTTTGTTTTCTTGTCTGTTTCTTTTTTTTGTATCTTTTTTAGAAGACATCTTTAAAAAAAGTTATTTGATCGATGTGTACATGCTAATTATTTATCCTATTGTTTTTTTTTGGTAGGACAGACGCGAATTGATTTTTTTTCTTTCTTGGAAAAACAATTTATTTTTTGACAGAGTCCAAGGTGAACGTTGTTGTTTGGTTTGGCTTGGTTTGGGTCTCCTAAAGAAAATGTGTTAATAACTAACCAGAGGTACTATTTTTTATTTGTATTGATATATATATTTGTTGTCTTTATTGGTTATAATAAATATTTTAATTGGAATCAAAACGCGGAGCAGATCTTGCTGGGTAATTACAAGATTTTCATTGATAATATTTTACTTTTCGTAATCAATAATATTAATAATATTATTATATTATTATAATCACAAGAAGATATCAAGGCAGCATGACTGACTGTTACAGAAGAAACAATTCAAATATGAAACAATTCAATATGCAATGTTTGATTATCAGAAATTGGCAGGTGTTAAGCACACATGCTGCCTTGAACACTTTACAGTCATTCACTCGTTCCTCGTGTACATAAGGCTAATCTGACTTGCGACCCCTCGATGATATGATGATGCAACCAAATTCCAGGGGAGGGACGCAATGCCCTGAGATTTACTGAGATTGCATCAATCGTCAAGGATGCTTTCACTAATCTTCCCAGGCCAGAGATGGCTGCTGCCATGTTGGATGAAAAGTTGCCTGCAACGATCCTACCTCTAGGGCAAGGATGGCACTGTGACCAAGTTGCAACTCTGCAGATGAATATTAGTGCCATGTAAATATCCAGATCCATCAAAGCAATGAGAATCTGCAGCTTGTTTCAAGCACAGGAGGTTGCAATTCAGAGCAGGGTTGGTGGCCCTGAAATTGCATTTGGACTCTGATGTTAAGAGGGAAGTTGTAAAATAGTGTTCGTTTTGCATAATCATTTTTGTAAATTCTCTGTTTAACCAATTTATGATTTTGGATAGGGGACTGGATTGGGTTTTTGCCCAATCAGTCCTCTGTCCTATAGGTTAAAATTATCGCATGATTATATACATCCTTGTCAGCAATATGGCCAACAAGAAAAAGAAAAAAGTCATAAAAATGGGTTGGATTTTGTTTGGTATGTTATAAATTAAACATTTTCCCAAATTTTCTGCTTCTCTAAATTTTTATCTGACCAACTGAATTTGTTATTTTAGTAAATGGGGTAGGGTTGTTGGTGAGTAGGCATGCCACTGACAAGACAGGGGATGCCTTTGGGATATACCAGCCAAACTCATAGAAAGGGATCTTTTGTCCAGACTTAGGGCTACATGGATGTTAAGCACAGAAAATGTACACTATCAATGTATATTTTTTTCAACAAAATAAACATTTAAATAATTAATTGTTAAATATTAATACTTTTCTTTTCATAAAAATTACAGCAACCCAGGACTCAAAACTCTGAATTCAGGGAAAATCCAAAACAGCAATCCAGGTTGCAACCTCCCGAGTTGTAGAATTTTCAACCCAGTCTTAACACCAACTTTGTACTGGAGGGGTATAACACAAAGCAATCATCACACAAATGCTGATATTCATCAGTGATCAATGCCCATATATGTAACAGCCAAGCCTGGTCTGAGGGGAAGATAAGGGAAAGTTTTGTCCAAAGCCTTCCAACTTGTTCAAATCGCATTCACCTGTGGGAAAAAATTCCCATGGTGCTGAATGGTGCTTAATTGCATGGAGTTTGCTTGTTTGTGATAGGAAATTTTGATTAAATCTGGCATCTGTGATCAACATCAGATTTATTATTCATAAGGAACCATAATTGATAATCATGAAAAGTAATTTATTATTGTGAACCCCAGAGATCTGGGTAGACACGCATTATTAAAAGTTTCATTTATGCATGGCCTTGGTATTATTACTACCTGAGTGATGCAATTGTTTGTTATGTCAATGATGATATCAAATGTATTGAATAGATGACGGATACCCGCGGATCGCATCACTAGTCCTGCACTATATTAGAGACGTAGTGGATATGACATAATTATTGATTTGATAGTGTGATGGCTCCCCTCTCCCCACATCGGTCACACAATTTACAAAAAATTTTCTTATAGATTCATTGAAACAAGGTTTGAACACTACTAAAGCTCGAACGGGTCAGGTTCGGGTTGATTTCGGGCCAATAAGAAAATTTTATGATTTACATAAATTTAGGTAAGTTTTATTCACCTAAATTTTATTAATTTAAATATAAAAGGCGAAATAACTATATTGGTTTTAAAAGGTGATGCAAGGGATGTAAGTGTGAAAGGAAGACGTTCCTACCATTTAATTGCTTAGGAAGTATAAAAATCAAAAGTCATGGTATCCATTTGATCTAAATATAAACATGAAAATTTATGTTGTAAAACTGTTGCTAAATATTGGGGTACCTTCAACAATCCGTAAACTTGATTTCTTAAAAACACCTGAATATCCTTGAGAACTAGAAATTGATATTCCCTATTACCACCATGGTTTTGCAAGGGATCCCAACACAAAAAATATATAGAATTCTTTTATAGTGAAGATTCAATTGATTTCGTCAGATAGCAAACGTGAGATCTACCCAAGAAAGAATTATGCGAAGAGAATTGGATTTCCTAAGGAATGTTTGGTATTATGAGGATTAGTGTTGGTCGCCAAAACTATTTTGAAGAGATGAAAGTCAAAACTAAAATCAAAAGTTATATATCAAATCTAAATCAAAAGTCAATAGTCAAAAATCAAAACTAGTTTCGACTTCTGGTGAAACCTTTTGACTTTCGCACGGTTGCGAAACTTTCTAGTTTTGGAAACCAACACTAATGAAGATCCGCATATAATAATTCCAGAGTATCTTCGAGAATTGGGTCTCGTTGAATAAATTAAAACTTTAAATGCTCCATGATCATTATACTCGGATGCATTAATTTTTTGATCCCACACCCACACCACACTGCATATACGCGTACATAGTTAAAAAAGATGCTATAATTTGGCTAGAAGTGTATCAATATTTAATTTAATTTTTTTTTACATTTGGAGAAACTTAGTCTTTATGAAGAATTTATGAATTTGGCTGTAAAACAATCCTCATTTCGAAAAAGACTATCAATAAAAATAAATTCAAACGGAAAATGTACTTTTTATTGGTGTAAATTAAAAAATAATTTACAAAATGTTGGTAATATATGATTCTCTGTACAAATGGATGAAGCAAAAATTTAAAAATCATGTGACTGCCGGACATGTTTTACGTAGGATTTTTCTTCTTGAGCAAAAAATCTATCCTCTAAAATAAGAACACCATATATATTTTCCACCAGAACCCTCGGATAAATCCTGATTTATTCTTGTCCATGAAACACCTTTCTTTCATAACTTTCCTTACTTTCACTGACACAAAAATCGATTTCTATGATAGGGTTTAGCTCATTTTCCCCCTTATTCCAAACCATATAAATGAATTTGCCTCCCGCACCTTCGCTCAAGTCATGGTAATTCCAGAATTCCCAACCGACTGGTTTTTCTATTTGTTTATCTGAGAAAGCGAGAAACCGTAAGGAAGTTACCGCATTTTTATGATTTTCAGAGATGATTCTCTCACGTTTACGTCCGCCATATATGAATTTGCAGGTGCATTTCATACCCATTGAAGTGATCAGGGCAATCTTTATTATTAGAGGTGTAAACTATGAAATCAGTAATCCATGTTGTCATTTTGTCAACTAGGAAAAAATACCAAGTGCTTGTCTGTATATATGAAAATTTATTTTGTTGCACAGATCTGTTGGGTGATTAGCATTATTGGTCGGACAAATGTATCAACTGACTGATTACATATGCTAGATAGAATGTTCGATTTTTCATGAATTTTTGATTGAAATAATAATGTGAGGAGGGCCCGAAAACTGAGGTTATACCTCTCTAGAATAAAGTTGGTGTC